TTTGTTGTGACTGTTGTGAACTGGAGGCGCATTGTCAATTCCATTCTCGTCCCCAAAAAAAAAATGGAAAAGAAAGCAGCAATTCGAGTTGTACAAATCTCACACACAAAAAACAAAACAGAATCGCACAAACAAAGAAATCTGACAAAACCAAGAAAATGCAAACAAACAAACAATCAAAAAAATAAATAAAAAATCAAACAACAGAAACAAGAACAGAAGTCTCCTCAAGCGAAGGAACACACAGATCGAGCGCTCATGTTTGAGTTTTGCGCGGCGAAGGTCAATTAATTTCTTCTGTTTTTTGAAAGAAGCGTCAGAACGTCGTGTGAACTTTCCGGAAGCGTAGCAGTAGCAGAGGCACTTCTCAATCTTCGAAAACGAATTGGAGAATGCGGTCCTTCTGTTTTGTTGTTCCTACCCCCTTTATAATCCCAATGCGTGCGGCTCACATATATCCTATCTTCTTGCGAGGGTCCTTTTCAGTTGATTCTTTCTCTTTTTTTCCACGGCGTTAGGGCGTGTTGAGGCGTTATAGTTTTCTTTTTGGAGCGGAGCGCATGCCTTGCAATTTACCCTTCCCAAGCTGTTTCTTAACTATCAGTCAATCGCGGACTTTCTGAAACGCGTTGTTTCGTACGTCTTCGGTGTGCGGTGTTGGAATTTCATCCCTACAAACAACAAGAATCGATGAGGGAATATCTAGCCACGGGAAACGAATGGCGACGATCCTTCTGTTTTATTTTTTTGTTATTCATATTCTTATTCTCCAAATCCCAATGTGTGGTGAGCGCCAGCGTGTGTGTTTGTTGGCGAGCTCACGAATTGTCCTTTGTCAAAGTGGCATCACACTGTGGTTTGTGTTAAAAATGTGCTACAGTCGCATTTTTCTTGACACTCTTCTTGGCATGATGTTCCTACCTTTCTGCGCAGACAGACACGCTTCGGCTGTGTGAGGTACGAACAGGTGGTGCGGAATCTGACATCACGTTCCCGTGTTCGAAACACCGGGGAATGTTCGATGACGGCACCGCAAACACCACAAGGAAGTGTCTGCAGCGCGAGAACAAGCGCGAAGACAAAAGTTGCGAGGGAAAACAAGCAAAAAAAAAAAAAAAAGCTAATCAAAACGAAGGAAACCACAGCGACAAAACAGAAATTGAAAGAAGACAATCTGATGATGTCTTGCCTGCCGCGTTGGGGTCCAGCGCCGCAGGCTTCTTGATTGCGCCGTAACATGCGGCAGTTCACCTTTTTGTTGTGTGTGACTGTGCGCTGGGCGTTCTTATCAACGACTTTCTCGTCCCGTGCCCCTTTCTTCTGATTTTTTTGCTTGTTTTCCCTCGTAACCTTTGTCTTCGTTCTCGCGCTGCAGGCACTTCCTTGTGGTGTTTGCGGTGCCGTCATCGAACATTCCCCGACGTTTTGCTGTTTTGTTTTTCAAACGTCTTTGCCTACCCTCTCCCCCCTTAAGCATGCTGCTGAGGACAGGGGAAATGAAACGGTGAATACTTTGTCATCCTAACGATATTGTGATTTTGCTTTCAATCGAGCCTGGCCCCTCTAAATTTATTTCACTGCCATGCTTTTCTTCTAAAGAAAGAAAGTGTAAGTAACGGTGTGCTGAAAACAAAATGGGATGCAAGAGTAGCAGGCCACTCCTCAAGCCTCAACACCACTCTGTTCCCTTTCCGCATCGAGGGCCGCAGTACGCACCTTCTGGCGCTCTTGCCGGTGGTCAGCAAGAAGGCCCACTTTCAAACAATTCTGTGAGAGGAGGAGGTGAGGAGGATACCGGATATGCGAATCCACATGATGAAACAGTTCCACCTGTCCCGTTGTCCGCTAGGGATAGCCGCAGCCGGCGGTACCCCGCACGTGCGTTATCACCGCACGCGAGTGACGACGATCTTGTGCTTGTGTGTGCAGAATGCGGAGCTGAGATTGAACATTGCAGCGAAGGGGAGTTTTGTCCAGTTTCCGGCAAGCGCCACACATAAGGCGCGACAAGTTGTCAGCGCGCCGACGAGTGTACACTATTGCAACGTGATTCAAAACGCGGCGAAACAAATGATATTCGTGCAGAATAAAAAACGAATCGAAATATTCAATGCCGCGTCTCTGTGCTGTGGATTATGTTTACCGTCGCTCAGTGGAAAAAAACACACACGGTTGTACACATCCTCCTCCTTTTTTCGTTCATCTGCATTGCTACATTATTTTTGGGATACTTTGATTGCTTGTAGACTTTTTTTTGTCTTTTTCTGGTTAAATAACACACCAGCAGGTGAGCAGCAATTTAAATAAAAGTGCGCTCTGACAGTCACATCCATCCACGATGTCATCATCTCGCCGCTCTGACAACGATGACACCGCAACCACAATTGGTCTTGACAACCTCTTCGACGAGGTGGAGGCTCGATCTCCCCACAGCGTCCGCACCGACGGCAGTGGCGGTGGAGGTGCCTCAGCAAGTAGTAGCAACGGAGGCGGCGGCATTCGGGCTGCCGACTTGGAAAAGCTATCGCGCATGGTGGACGGAGATGAGTCGCAAAGCTCAGCGTCCACCTCACCCCCAAAGTCCGTCAAAACCGTCGACGATGGGAGCTCCTCATCGTACACTGCTCGTAAGAATGCTGCTGTTGAGTTTGAAGACGATGACGATGACGATGCGACGAGCGTTGCGACCTCAAAAGTGTTTGTGGAGGGCGAAGAATGGATTTCCGTAGGTGACGACAGTCCACCAAAAAAGCCCGGTGGTACTACTGAGGGAGGCAAAACAGCCCCTCCCGCAGCAGTGCGATCAGATGGGCTCTCATCTTGGCCAGCCGATAAAGTTTCGGCGCTGTGGCAGCATATGCTGGCTGCACCGTGGCACGATGTTCGTTACCGCCTGCAGACATTCCACAAAGGCATGACGGGCGAGGAGATTGTATCGTGGCTCAAATCCGCCAACTTTGCCAAGACGGACGGAGAAGCGCAAGAGATCGCAGCTGCCATGTTGGCTCGTCATATGTTCTACCAGTTGAATCGCAGATCTAAATTTCAAGGGTTTGCCGCGACGGCGAAGCAACAGTACACCCTTGAGGACAACTTCACGGAGGAAAACGCTTCCCTGTCATCTAAAATTTCTCGTGCAGTGAAGTCTTCCAACGAATCTGCGGCAACAGTTCCGTTCAAGTTGATCAAAGGCAATCATGTCGTGACGGTGCTGATCGAGGAAAGACAGCGCCGCCCAGATCCGTCGTTGCCATACAGCCCTGAATTCGTAAGGCCTCAAATCGACGGCCCGGCGTGG